GAGACATCAGAAAGAGCGATTGATTCCAAGTAGACATGGGTAACGCAGCGCTGCGTTGCGTTATTGCGTTAACGCAGTTGTATGCGTTACAGGCGTTGATACACCAGCTGTTACTGTATCAGCGCAACGCAATTTTCGGTACTGAGTCGAAAGGATCGCGAGTTGTTGGTGCGCCATGCGCCAGGCACTGATTCAGTTTTCCGTGACGAGTTGAGAATTTTAATTTACGTAATTGATGCAACTCGTAATGCAGATTACTCAAAATCTATCAAGTAATTATGTTCTTTGCAACATGTCACACCATTTGTAGGATATTGTAGGTCGAATTTTTTGGATTTTAACCTTGTACACTGTCAGTTTTTAGTTCTTCCCATTTTGATTGGGTACTAGTACTAGTAGGTATACAAAAGTTATATCCTTTTTATATAAATTGGAATTTTTGTATTCTTTGTAAAATCCGAACACAATGAAATAAAAAAATGTTATATTTTCGTTTATTTTTAAACATAGGTATAATTAAAAAAATTTATTTAAATTCCCAATATAAAAGGATAACCAGGGTTACCAGGTTTTTGAAAGAGATGACGGACAGACAGGGGATTTTAGGGGAAATAGGGGGAAGTAAAAACAACTCGGTCTATTTTTACTCTTTTAATCAAAATTACTTATTTTGCAAGAAATCCTTACCTAATTTTGGTAAAGATACACTGAGGTGATTTTACAAATAATAAGGTGAAAATGTAAAGTTAGAAAATCGAGAAATGGCAAATCGAAATCCAAAGTCAGAAAACATTTTCACCTTATTATTTGATCAGTCTATCTTTACCAAAAAATAGGTACGAATTTTTTACAAAATAACTAATTTTGATTAAAAAAATGAAAATAGACACAGTAGTTTTTATTTCCGCCTATTTCCCCTAAAATTCCCTGTCTGTCCATCATCTCTTTCAAAAACCTGGTAACCCTGAGGAGAACCCGCGCTGAATAACACCGGTATCATGCGATACACCGAGGTGCATCGACTTCATTCGGCGCAGGCAGTGGTGTGACGCAATAACGCAATTGCGTTAACGCAATGAGTTGGCGCAATAGAGTGCGCCAGAGTTAGTGTATCAACGCAAAGAATTTTAGTGCGTTACCCATGTCTAATTCCAAGCGAATCGGTTTTGTGACCACTAGATTTCGCGCGCAAACGGTGCTTTGTGTAAAAATCGATAATGGTATTAATGCTAGGGCCAGAGTCATAGATTGTGTTACGAGGGGTTATGGAGAAGTTGTTGTTAAAAATAAATTTGAAATTGATTAAAAATTAATTTCACGTAACAAGAGCTTTCTCTTGTTCAATTGAGAAAACCTGTGCTACAGTATATTTGGACCCATAAGTTGTATTGGAAGATGACGCTTAATTTTCTTTAGCATTTTTTCGAAAATGTTCAATGCGATGCTGTAAAGTTGCAGCTTTGATACCGTAATTATCAGCGGCCTTCCGTATAGACAGTCTTTTTGATATTACTTCCGATATAGCAGTCTTCATTTTCTCCTCATCAATATTTCCTCTATCAGTCTTAGGTTTGTAAGTACGCACCATTTTCTGGAAAAAATATTAACTAATTTAGAAATAACAAACAAACTTGTATATTGGGGCACTATTGTACACTACCGGGGCACTTTGATACACATTAATGTGCCCCGTATTCTACTGTACCAAAGTGCCCCCACGGACATTCAACATTCATAGAGAAAACCACTAAAATAATTTGAAAATCACGTGCAATCCTGATAACTAAATGGAATATCTTACCTTTGATAATTTCTAAACTAATTTAAATGACACATAACAGCGTTGAGACACTTTTAATCTTCACGAAACTTTTTAGTTGGCAGTGTCAAATTCACACCTGCTTTCTTTGAAGCCTAACGTCTAACTGGAGTACTGGAGAGCAGAGCGGTAGCAACTGTTGTAGTTACGTATGTATAGCTAGTAAGGATGGATATCGCAGCACGAATAGCGATTCTCGATATTTAAATAGTGTCGTTGTATCAATGTACCCCTTGCATCAATGTGCCCAGACTCCCCCTACTAATATTTTTTTAACATCGTATCAAATTGACAGGTAATGACATCTATAAATTTTCCCTAGTTTAATCATGAAGACAATATAAAAGGTTATTAGCTTACTGATCTACCTCTGGCAAAACCGCGTTGTTCCAATAAATGATGTTGTTTTCTCCTGTATATATTTTGATTCTGTCTGCAATAATTGTTGTATAATCGACCTTTAGGGTTTTTTGTTAATTCGGGTTAATACTACAACTTTTTTGTTTTGAATTGCCTTATTTCTAAAATCAATCATTATTTATTAAATCACAGATCATAAACCCAATCACCTAAATCATAACAAGGTCAACAAAATAAAATAATATTTTTATGCAATGAAAGAATTAAATTATTTCATATACAGGATGTTCTTTTATTTTCTTGATGTTCAAGATTGAACATACTGGCGACTCTCAGATGGAGTGATGATTCATGGATTTGACCCCAGTTTCCCACAATTCTCCAAAATTAGGAACATGTGGAGGTATAAAATGCCAGTGAATATCATTTGATGGCATGGAGGAATTTTGGATATCCAGATTTTTTATGATTCCAGAGAATTCATTCTGCAAATTTATGTTTGCACCTACAAAGGTGGTGCCGTTATCGCTGTAAATATGAGAACATGGACCTCTTTTTAATCTGAATCTTTCTGTTGTCATATAACTTACTACTTCCAAGTGACTTGCCTTTGTTGATAGACACACAAAGATTGCTATGTATCCTTTGTTGAATTTGTAGCCTCGTCTTTTTGTGTCTCTTACTTGAATTGGTCCAGCGTAATCTACTCCTGTATGGGTGAAGGGGGGAGATGGTGTTACTTTAGGCTTTGGTAATTATGCATTTATTTACAACCCGTTGACAGCTTGTTTTCCATTGATAATCCAGTATTTTTGTCTACAATATGCAAGTGTCATTTGATTTCCTCCATGCAAAGTTTTCTTATGACTGTTGTGTATTATTAGGTCCGTGAGATGATTATGGTTTGGAAGTATGATTGGGTGTTTTTGCTCTTAAGGTAAATTTGAATTTTCCAATCGTTTCCAAACTCTTAGGGTCCCTTCATTATCAATCAAAGGGGTTAAATTGGATATTTTACTTGTCGTTTTGTTTACATAACCATCTTTTTTAGTGCCTGGACCTCTTGGTAGAAAATCCGTGCTTGTTCTTGCTTTGTTATTCCTTTTAAGGTGTTATCCAATTCTTGGGGAGTTAATGGGCCTTTTTCATGAGTTTTGAGTCTTCTGCAATATGATAGTACTCGAATTATCTTTGCTCATCTGATCTGATAATTTGTCCTCCTCAGTGTCAGGGATTTCAACCATATTTGGAGAATACTTACGTTTATGTACCATTTCAGACCCTTCCACCTTAACGAATGGTCTTTCAGCTTTCGAATATCCATTCCTAGAGCGTCTGCTGGATTATCTTGCATTTTAACGTGGTTCCAGTGTTCCTTTGGTACCAATGTAGAGACTCGATTTGCTACGAAAGTTTACCATCTTTGTAAGCCTTTAATCCAGCTTAGTGCTATCATCAAGTCTGTCCACTGACTCTAGTTTGAGGGCTTTGACTGTTCTATCCATTAGTTTTGCCAGCAGTACTGCAGAACATAGTTCAAACCTTGGTAAGCTAGTTTTTGTTTTTGCTGGAGCAACCTTTGACTTTGCAACCAGCAATGTAGTGTGTGAGATACCATCTGTTTCTGTTATACTGTAAATTACTGCACCATACGCCTTTTCGGAAGCGTCACAAAACCCATGAATTTCTATTTCAGTTTCTTTACAGTAGATCCATCTTGGAATTTTGATATTTTCGACAGTGTTCATCTGAGTTTTGAAGTTTTCCCTGCTGGTAGCAATTTGTCGATTCACAGGTTGGTTCCAGCTGATTTGTTGAAGCCACCACTCTTGTATTAATATCTTTGCTTGTATTATTACTGGAGCTAACCGTCCTAGTGGGTCGAACAGTATAGCAATTTCAGACAATATGCGTCTCTTTGTAATGGCTTCTATGGGATGATTAATTTTCATTTGTAGTCGAAAAATTTCATCTGCTGGAGACGCTTAATTACCTTCTTATCTTCAATCAAATGTATTTCTTGATCTTGATAACGTTCTGGTAACCTTCGGATTAACTCAAGATCGTTGCTCTCAATACAAAACCACTACTTTTCAACAGTTTTAGGAGTTGTTTTGCAGCTGTTTTGCTTCTTCTACACTGTTTGTACCTGAGAGCAAATCGTCTACATAAAAGTCTTCAAGAACGACCTGTGCGGCCTTAGGATATTTTGATTTTTCGTCTAGAGCTAATTGCTGTAATGTTGATGTTTCATAGGTAACTGTGGTTAGTTCATATTCCTTTATATTTTCCGAGGTCTGGAATCTCCATAAGATTTTTTGGAATTTTTGATCGTCTCTGTCAATTTTGATTTGTCTGTACATCTTTTCGATATCTGCTGAAAATACTATACGATACGATATCCATTTGAGTAGCACATCACAAATATCTTGTTGTAGTTTTGGTCCTGCAAGCATATAGTCGTTCAAACTGTACCCGTTGTCGGTTTTGCTTGATGCATCAAATACTACTCGTAGTTTCGTAGTTGTTCTTGCTTCTCTGGCTACAGGTTGGTGATACATTGTTGTTTACGGGCCTAACTTGGACCATGAGCCCTAATTTATTAATTATTATTTTTACAACCTTGAATATGATTTGTCCCTTTTCTATTAAATGAATTTGATTAACGCAATTTTCTAATTTTGGATAAAATTATCTGATTTTGAAGAACATTAAACACAATATATTCGAGTGTGTCATTTATTAGTGGTCATCGTTCTAGACCAGGAATATATTCATCAAGTTCTCTATTTTTTATTAATCAATTATTTTTATTTATTAGGACGCACCTACAATGATCTCAATCAGTACCCAGTTTTTCCATGGGTGTTAACCAACTACGATTCGAAAGATTTGGACCTCAGTCAACCGAGCAACTACAGAGACTTATCTAAACCGATAGGGGCCCTTAATCCCAGCAGAAGAAGTTACTTCGAAGAAAGATATTCCACGTGGGAACACGATAGCATTCCACCATTCCATTACGGAACTCACTATTCTACGGCAGCCTTTGTGTTCAATTGGTTGATCCGAGTGGTAAGTTTCAGTTTTTAAATCAAAGTTTATATGATTCAAAATAACTAATTTTTGTAGGAACCGTTTACGACAATGTTCCTATCTTTGCAAGGAGGCAAATTTGACTATCCCAACAGACTTTTTTCATCTATTTCCATGTCGTGGAAGAATTGCCAAAGAGATACGTCCGATGTAAAAGAATTAATTCCCGAATTCTTCTTTCTACCAGAAATGTTCATAAACTCCAACAGATACCGACTGGGTTTAACAGAAGAAGGAAAACCTATCGGAGACGTTGAGTTACCACCGTGGGCTAACTCTCCAGAAGAGTTCGTAAGAATTAACAGAATGGCTTTGGAATCCGAATTCGTATCGTGTCAACTTCATCAATGGATAGATCTGATATTCGGATATAAACAAAAAGGTCCAGAAGCTATCAGAGCCACCAACTGCTTCTATTACTTGACGTACGAGGGCAGCGTTGATCTGGATTCCATTCACGATAAGGTGATGAGAGAAGCCATCGAAAACCAAATCAGAAATTTCGGACAGACGCCTTCGCAGCTCCTGATGGAACCTCATCCGCCTAGGAGCTCTGCAATGCATTTGGTAAGTTTTTTACTAGTTTTTTGAATATTTATTGCCTTAATGGCTGACACAATACAATAAGGTACAACTAACGTAAGTATCAGGACAAAGGTATTCAAGGAAATAAAAAGGCTGATTAAATTGCCAAAGAGGATCAAAACTACCATTTACAGGACTCGAATTTGTGTTTGGGTTAAACAAAACCTATTGGACAGGCAGTAGTGAACAGGTGCATAACCACTTAACACCAAACTCACTGGCAATAAAGTGCCTCAGTAACACTTGGTAGGGAACATAACTAGTGAATTGAAATATATAGTACCGGAATATGGAAAAAGCGTAGTGTTCTGAGCCAAAACTAACCCTACCTGCTTACAACCGACAACTATAAAGATAAAAATGTTTATTTCAATTTCAGTCACCAATGATGTTCTCGGCCATACCTGACGACGTATGTATGACGATGAAATTCCTCTCCAATAGTCCCGTGGTCCATATTTCGGCTAATACTTATCCACAATTGCCAAATCCATCAGTAGTGACGGTGACCATGCATCAACAGTTTGCTGTAAATAAATGGAATTCGGCGTACGCGGCTGTCGCGCAATCTCCCAGTTATGCGGAGACTCCTCAAAACCAAGCGTCCAATTTACCGCTTTCCATGGATGTAGTATTGTGTAAGTATTGAATTAGTCCTTTTTCATGATGTGCATGATTTATTTGCGATGTTCAAATTAATAATCAATATTTAATTTTTAAACCTTTATTATTGTTATATATACATATATTATTTTTTGTAAATGGTACTCAGTTGAGCTGAACAGCTCTGCTGGACTTTGCTGAGGATTAATAAAATAAAGACCTCTATTATTATTATTTTGATTAAAATAATTAATTTTGAAAAAATTTTTATAGCCGTCAGTAACAACAGTAACACCCAAAACCAAATGCAAAGGCGTCACTTGGGCGACAACTTTAGCCAAAACCTAAAGATCCGTTTCAATTGCTTTGTAACAACAGTCGACAGCAAATTTTTGATAGCTTGCGGATTTTGGGACAACAGTTTTCGCGTGTTCTCCACAGAAACTGCGAAAATAGTTCAAATCATATTCGGCCATTACGGCGTTGTTACCTGTCTGTCTCGGTCGGAATGCAACATAACCTCAGATTGCTACATAGCTTCCGGATCTGCGGATTGTACTGTATTGCTGTGGCATTGGAACGCCAGAACGCAAACTATTGTCGGAGAAGGAGAAGTTCCAACGCCTAGAGCCACGCTTACTGGTCACGAACAACCGGTATCCAGTGTTGTCATTTCTGCTGAACTGGGACTGGTCGTTTCAGGATCATACGGTAAGTTAATAGTTAGGGATTGATTCCATATTGGACTCGTGTTTCATAATCATCGTTTTTAGGTGGTCCAGTATTGGTGCATACCACATTTGGAGACCTTCTACGATCACTAGATCCTCCGAACTTGTTTGTTTCTCCCGAGAACATAGCTATGTCGCGCGAGGGAGTGATCGTTGTAAATTATGAAAAAGGAAATATAGCTGCGTATACTATCAACGGAAAACGGTTACGACACGAGTCACACAATGATAATTTACAGGTATATGACACTTTTTCTACTACTGTTAATACTTTTTTATTTTTTTTTAATTTTTTTTTATTTTTTATTTTTTTATTTTTTTATTTATTTATTTTTTTTTTGTTCTTTTTATTTGTTTTTTTTGTTTGTTTTTAGTTCAGCAATAAAACCGACAAAATAATTTCTCTTCAATAATAAATTTTTGTTTTCAGTGCCTACTCTTGAGCCGCGACGGCGAATATCTGATGACTGGCGGCGATAAAGGAATCGTAGAAGTATGGCGGACATTTAACTTGGCTCTGCTGTACGCGTTTCCAGCATGTGATAGTAGCGTTAGATCGCTTGCATTGTCACATGATCAAAAGTAAGTACATATAAACACATTTCTTTTTTCTTAGGCTCGTCTAATTTAGCCTGCGATAATCTTGCAAATTATTGGTTTATTTCGTTTTACGTATCGAGATAGAATAAAGATGAGATGCTATGACGATACTAAAAGTGTCCGCACCTATGAACTTTTACGTCATTTGTCAATTTTGAGGTAATCAGTTTTAGTGAGAATAAATGCCATTTTTTAAATAGCTTCATTTAAATGATATAAAAACATTCAAATATAAAATTATGAATTAAAATAAATCAAAGTACGACTCTAAGTCGCCATTTTGATTATATTTTTCCATCAGTCAGGAATCGCTAAGCGCGTCCATCTGTTATACCGCAAAATAGTGTTTATGTCGTTTCTACTTCATTCTATCTCGATGGTTTTACGCCATATTACATCATAGACTCGCCTTGTTACCTTTGTTTGTAGATGTCTTCAACCGAGTGTGTTTTATGGCCTCTTGCATCAATAAACTTTAGTTCTTCTAAATTTGCCTTGTTTTCTTTTGTTTCTATTTCTTCTGGTTAACAATGCTGCCTATTGTCTTATTATGTTTTATTCCACGTTGGTTCTGTAGCCTATTAGCTTGTTGTGTTTCATCTCATGTTAGCTCTGCAGCCTATTGGGTTGTTGTGTTTCATTCCATGGTTATGTAAGCCTATTGGCTTATTTTATTTTACCCTTTGCTGATTCTGTAGCCTATTGGCTTGTGTTTCATTCCATTTTTCGCAGCCTATTGGCTGTACCTTTTTTATATTGTACAACTATGTACAGGTTTATGACTGAATGTTTTCTATAGGCGCTTAGATCAACGTGGTGGGGGTGGTTCAAAAATTGTCTATCTTTTGCGATCCAAGATTTTGCTCTTTCTGATTTTGGTTCCTTATGACATAGTCGACGCAATAGGTTTCTATTTTAAACGCCAATTTTGTTCAGGGGTCCCTTTAAGGTCTATTCTCACTATAGATCAAGCCACGATCAAGTCACGGTCCGATCAAAAATGATTTCTCATAATTTTAATGCTTTTAAATGAGATTTGTTTTAAATCGTTCACACATGCCGGTCATCGAACAAGCAAGCCACGGTCAAGTCGTGGGCCGACCATTTCCAACAATATTTGACCGGACCGTGACTGTCCGTTGACACGCAGACCATCTAGTGTGGATGCTCAACGACCAACTAGTCAGACAAAAAGCAGGCTATCGGTAGTATCAAAAAGGACAGAGTGATTACTGTATACGTTTAGGTTTTCTTTTAAATGGCTTTTGTAAAAAAATTTCATCTGAAATCGATTCCCCCAAATGTGGTACCAAATCGAAAAATCGAAAAATCGAAAAATCGAAAAATCGAAAAATCGAAAAATCGAAAAATCAAAAAATCGAAAAATCGAAAAATCGAAAAATCGAAAAATCGAAAAATCGAAAAATCGAAAAATCGAAAAATCGAAAAATCGAAAAATCGAAAAATCGAAAAATCAAAAAATCGAAAAATCGAAAAACCGAAAAATCGAAAAATCGAAAAATCGAAAAAACGAAAAATCGAAAAATCGAAAAATCGAAAAATCGAAAAATCGAAAAATCGAAAAATCGAAAAATCGAAAAATCGAAAAATCGAAAAATCGAAAAATCGAAAAATCGAAAAATCGAAAAATCGAAAAATCGAAAAATCGAAAAATCGAAAAATCGAAAAATCGAAAAATCGAAAAATCGAAACATCGAAAGATCGAAAAATCGAAAAATCGAAAGATCGAAAGATCGAAAAATGGAAAAGTCAAAAAATCGAAAAATCGAAAGATCGAAAAATCGAAAAATCGAAAAATCGAAAAATCGAAAAATCGAAAAATCGAAAAATCGAAAAATCGAAAAATCGAAAAATCGAAAAATCGAAAAATCGAAAAATCGAAAAATCGAAAAATCGAAAAATCGAAAAATCGAAAAATCGAAAAATCGAAAAATCGAAAAATCGAAAAATCGAAAAATCGAAAAATCGAAAAATCGAAAAATCGAAAAATCGAAAAATCGAAAAATCGAAAAATCGAAAAATCGAAAAATCGAAAAATCGAAAAATCGAAAAATCGAAAAATCGAAAAATCGAAAAATCGAAAAATCGAAAAATCGAAAAATCGAAAAATCGAAAAATCGAAAAATCGAAAAATCGAAAAATCGAAAAATCGAAAAATCTGAAAATCTGAAAATCGAAAAATCAAAAAATCGAAGAATCGAAAAAGAAATACCGTAACGAAAATAAACCTAACACCCCTCACTCCGACCGGCACAGTAGTGCAGCGTTGAAAGCCGTGCATCGTCTAACGTCGTTTCAGTTCAGCAGACTTCGGCACGGTGTTTGTGTGCGTGCGACTAGACGTATGCGTGTAGACTAGCTGCTAACTGCTCATAACTGATTCTATCTCTTTTAGACATAATTTCGGAAAAATTGAATTTGAAAATGAATAATGATCCACAAGAATCCACAACAAAATATGGGAACACCATTGACGCGGTATTTTCCAGATATTTAGAGGATATCAAGTCTCAAACTTATGTTTCTTATTTCAGTTATCATAAACCTATAGTTTCAATGATAAAAATTCCTGAATAACCTACATGTATTTTAAGATAATAAAAATATTTTAAACAATATTTTTACTTGTCATTTATTCAATAGAAGAAAAAAATTTGTTTTCTTATCGGTCACCACGCTCAAAAAGTGTAACTTAAATTAATATCAAAGAAAAAACTTGAATTAATATCAAAGAAAAAAAAATACTGCATAAATAAAATAAATAAATAAATAATTATAATTGCATAAGTTGATAAAAAATGCTATGCAATAGCTTTACCGCGGTAGTCCCCGAGTACCACACGTATTTTTCTTTTTTTTTAGCATTGAATTGTCGCGTTTGAATATCCACATCCGATGCATTTTTTACATCTCGAGCATTTGTTTATCCACATCGGACAACATCTACTACATCTACATCTCCGTTTGTTTATTCGAGATGTAGCTGTCCAGATTACATTTTTTACATCTCGATTTGAAGTGAGATGTGAATGAAATGTTCGTTTCATGCCAGAACTTAGGTGTTCTGTGAAGCCAAGTTTATCGATTTATCCTTTGTTTGTGCTAGCGTGAATATAAAAACGATTACTGTTTTTAATTTTTGTTTAGATTTCAAATTTAGATTGATTTCTAGTCTCAAAAGTCAAATTTATAAAGTATAAACTTCTAACTTGTCAGTGTCATTTTATCACGTGACCAATAAAGTCTAGAGCGTTTGTTTATTACATCTACATTTTAATCTAATCCCCTATCATGTGATAAACAATTCACAACATCTCAGATGCATCCGATGTGGATATTTAAACGCAGCAGATGTACCCAAAATATTTTTCTTTTATTTTTTATATTTTTTTGACGTTCTTCTTCCGCATCCAAAATAAGTACGATTTTAATTAATGAAGTTTAAAACATTTTTTAAGATCGCGATGCTACAAGCAAAAACAAATCTGAAAAAAAAAACACTTATTCACGATTACCTGCTGTACGTTGGAAAAACTGGTCGAATATGACGATGGCATGACTCGATAGTGTGAATGCTTTCAAAAAGATTTGATCGTGACCGGACCGTGACTTGATCTTGCCTTGTCCGGCTAATGTGGATAGACCTTTACTGGGACATGCACAATCATAAAACCTGTATTGTTTTCAATCAGTTCCAATTTATAGAGTACCCAGTGGCGTACCTAGTGGCGTACCCAGTGGCGTAGCTACGGGGGGTTTGGGGGGTCAAAACCCTCCTCATGGAGGGTCAAAACCCTCCTCATGGAGGGTCTTCGTATCACCATTTCCGCTATAGTATTGACGCTGATCACTATTGACCGTTTCTTTTTATTCACTTTCTTGATGGAACCCCCCCTCATAGTTCTCAAAAACCCCTCAAATGAAAAATAGCTGGCTACGCTACTGAGAGTACCTCTTCTGTTCTTTTTAATAATAATAATAATAATAATAATAATAATAATAATAATAATAATAATAATAATAATACTCTCCCTAATTCACCCCCTTATGAGTGAATTTTAACCCCAAAAGCTGAACTTGTGCGGGGAAAGGGACGACTATTATTATTATTTGCCGTGGCGCTCCGGGGCGACTTAAAGATGATTGATGGTGCCATTTGACTAACAGGTGAGGAAAACCCGGAAAACCTCACCCACCATCATCGAGCCGGGTAATACATGGCGATTTTATAATCTGCATGTTATATCAACAGAAATTGAATTTCTATTATTACGGCCCCTAATAGCAGAGTATTGTTTCACGAACGTCCCAGAAACATGCACTTGGGACATTAGAAACGTCTCTGTCATGTTTCTTATTTTCCCTCAAACGTACCTGGGATGTTTCTGGCAATGACCATGTCATCATTTGTAACGTATTAGAGACGTTTCACAGAGACGTTTGTGGAACATCCTGCGATGTTGCTCAAACGTCCTAGGCAAATATTTATACCACTGCAGGAACGTTTCAGAAATGACTTAAACGTTTTTTTAGTAGGATAATAAAATCTATTATTTCTTTTCATAAATTTATTAAAAAAAAAAAAAATTGACAAAAAAATTAATTGTTATTTATTACGCTTTGATTCATTGCGTCTGTTTCTTTCCGGAGCCTTCTACAACCAGGCATCTATTTTAATTTCTATTTCTTTTTTGTTTACCAATTTACCGAATCTGAAAATGTTTTAATTAAATGACAATATAAACAATTGATATTAAGTTAAAATAATTACCCATAATGGCTTTAGCTATTTTTAACTTGGCGACTTCATTTTTTCCAGTGCATGAAAAAACTTACACAACTCGTACCTTGAGGGGAGCTATGCATTTTCTGATAAATTCACACACAATATTGCTACCGTGAATTTCAAAATATAATACCTAAATAGACTAGAATGTATAAAAGCCATATTTTGTTAAAGGAAATTAAGTTACCTTCTTCATTTTGGCTTGAATAGCTTGTACGTATAACGATTGTTTCTACATTTGCAAGGCCTGATCAAACTTCGAATTGAAAGTGATTTTTCATGTAGCTTTACCCTCAGAAATTCACAAACTATACACTTCAATTCGGCCTCCTATTATCACTTTTAGTTTATTTAAAAGTTTATAGAGAAGTTGTTTATTATTTTTAAACTCATCCAAACTTTATTACAAGCGAGGCCAAACACCATTTTATTTTCAACTGTCAACATTCATGAAATATTTGTCTTATGTCAATTGTCATTGGATCTATTATACGGTAGGCGTGTTCCGTTATAACTCCACGAGCAAATCAAATATGAGGTCTATTTCTTTTTATCTAAAATATCGTTCCATCCATACAATTTGTATAAATGAAACGACATTTTCATAAGTACTATAGCTCAGTGCTACACTGCATCACGAGGGCTTCTGTCAATAGTGTATTTTTTTAGCTCGCGGATGATTAACCGAACTCTCCTGCTGAATTAGAAGGAAGGATATATTCATCTCTGTCGTATTTGCTTTGCACTCTTTTATGAAGGAAATATTAAGATAAATTTGACTTGTAGCAGTTGTCTTGTGAAATAAAAATATTGTTCAAAATGTTCAAATTTAATATTGGAGTTTGATATTATTGTAGATTTCAGGTGATTGCACTAATTTTATAATTTCAAAATAATATTTAGAACGAAAATAAAATACCTGTACATAAATACGATGTTTCTAAAACGTTCTTGAGAAATCATTCCAGAAACGTTTCTTTAGAGACATCGTAGGGACGTACCATTTATGTCAGAAACATAGAAACATACAAGGAACCTAAATGGGATGTTCCTGGCAGATCGGTGTTATTAGGGGCACACATCAAATCCTATACCGAACCATGCAATTTAATTAAAAATCCACATGGTCTGGCTGAGATTCGAAGCCCGTCTGTCTCTGACCATAAACTTGCCTATAAATGAATATAAGCGCGTTAGACTGCTACACAACCGACACCGACGGTGGTCTTCATATAAAGATTTTCCCAAGTTGTGGGATATTTTCGTAATAATTGTTCTAATGATAGATCGGTTTAATATTCAAAGAAAATTGTTACTTTCTCGAAACCCAGTCTTTTGGTACTTACGTTTCTTTCTTGTATCGATGTTTCTTATTCTGGTTCTGTTTTTGAAGTTCGTCTGCCTTTTCATTGCCTTCGAACCATTGATGACCAGGCGCCAACCAATTTCAAGTGATATTTAGTAATTTTCAATCTTTTTACAGGTTCTTATTAGCGGGTTTGGCATTGGGTTCAATCGTGGTATTCCACATCGACTTCAACCGATGGCACCACGAGTTTCAGCAACGCTACTAGATGGAAGAAATAATGATGTTCCGCTGTTAAAGAAATTAACTAGTAGGTACTTAACCATGCAATTTGTGGTACTTAATTCTTTTAATCACGTTTATTAATTATTAATTTTTCACTTATACCTTACGTACTATTTCAAACTAGTTATTTTTGTGCAATAAATGCTTTTTCTTAGATGAGCAATTTATTATTATTATTATTATTATTATTATATTATTACATAATTTGTTGATTTTACCATTCGACGTAGGTATTTGTAGATAGCATTTCTTTTAGTGGGATATTTTATAATAATTAAATTTTAATCATTAATAGTATTTAATATTTAACCATTTTTGGGATACTGTACTTGGTTTTGGTTTTCATGTAGCTTGTCTAAAGAAATAATCAAAAAAGGTGATGGTATTTGTATTGTTGGTGTGTCGTTTTTTTATATCAAATCATAACCAATGGTCGCATAATCATTTTAAAATGCAGTAATTTTATAAAAACGGGATTCTTTTCTTGCTACCTCTTTAATATCTTTCTTACTTTGTTTTAATCAAAAATATTTATCTTAGATATTTTAAAACTTTTTATACTCCCAAGTTTCGAATTAGAAACATTTTATCTAAAATTCTCCTGTTTATGAGATTCTAGATAGACGTAGTAGGTATGACAGGACTTGAAATAAGCGCTATAGGTACCAGAAAATTTTAAACGTTCGCAGCATATAGTACGTGGTTCCAGACATGCGCAGTAGAGTTTTGTCACTAAGGAAACGTCTGTGGACTGTTTTTGTAATGTTTTGCTCACACTATCAAATTTCGGTAGCAAATTATTCTACACTTCTAAAAGAATTCCAATTTCCAGTTTGTTCATTGCAGCCCGCAAACCAGTAGCTTCAACCTTTGTTACTGCAGGTTGATTTGGATCATTTGTTAAGTTTTGAAGGGCATTTTGGTAGCTATCATAACATCTATAGAGTTGTACTTAATTTATTTGGGAGCAAATTGTTTTTTGCTCTCCGTCTCCATTCTCAGACTCACTTAAAGTTTGTTTTAAAATATCCCATCTAGCAGTGGAAGATGAAAAGAAAACGTAGAGTTCATTTAAGAACATGAAAAACTCTGTAAACAACTTTCCGCAGAACAAGAACCTATCAGATTAAAAGAATGAGCTGCACATGGTATGTATAGAGCTTTGGCATTATGTTTTTTTTATGCGAGCTTGTAGGCCCGAATATTCGCCGGACATATTTGACGCATTGTCGTATGCCCAACGCAGTCCTCGATAGGTAGAGTGAATTCATCAAGTGTTTTTAAAATTGCTACTTCCATATCTTCAGCTTTATGCCCAACCTTGCTAATAAATTTTATGAAACGTTCAACCACTGATCCGATTGGTTGCACCTACCGCAAAATAAAAGTTAATTGGTCTGTATGCGAAATATCAGGTGTTGAATCTACGCTTTTTATTTCTTCTATTATTTTTTCTCTGGTGAATTTAGCTAACAATTCTATAAATTCATTACAAACAGTCTTTGACAGGTAGGAGGCATGTCCTTTTCCCTTATTTGCATGTTTTTCGAAATGAGTTTTTAGGAATGGGTCAAATTTAGCAATTAGTTCAAGTGTAGCCAAATAATTTCCACATTGCTCTTCACCTGATCTTTCTAAGGTCCCCCTTGTTTAGATAAAAAATGTATAGTTGTTATTATCCTTTTCAGAAGGTTTCTCCAATACTCTTTTTCTATTAAGTATTGTTTTTCGATGTTGCTATCTATTTTTCCGAGTACTGTGGAACGTAATGTATATGTTTTTGTATTTTCTCGATGCTCTATAGATTTCTCGTGCTCCTCTATTCTTTCTAGATGCTTCCAATCATTAAATCCATTGACGCATTTTGAAAGGTTTGATCCGAATAATTTAGATTTTGTTGGTTGATGTGCAGTAGGTGTTACATTCACAGTCTAGTTGCGCAAGTTTATATCCTTTGTACCTTACACACCACTGATAAATTAAAATCCGTTTCTCCTAATGTATTATACAGGGTGAGTACTAATTGTACTTCTTCAGTAACTAGAGGGAAGTTAGGAAAAATACAAAATATTATTTATATTATATACAGGATAATGTATTGATGAAATTTGGTCAAAATAGTTTTTTTTTTGTTAAATGATTATGCGACGCATTATTTAATTGGTTTATAAATGCAATTCTATGTTAAAATTTTTAGTATTTAATTTAAAAACTAAATAAAAATCTGGTAATAAAATCCATCAAATATTTTGGTTATTTCAGTAATATTAATTTTAAGGATTCGTACTTGCCCCGGTATTTAAAAAAATACTGTTTTAAATCCTTTTTATTCTTGGATACGCTTTTAACAATTTTTATTTATATGGCAGTTCTGCCTGTTTAAACATTCCTGTAAGTGTGCTTTTTAATAAGAATTATTCCATTTAGATGTATTAAACAGAAATTTATAAATTGACATCTAGTCCAACAGCTATACAGGGTGTTTCCGAAGTTGTCCAAATTTGTAGGGGTGGTAGTTCGCATAATTTGAGAGCAATTGGCAGATTTCATTTTTCTAAAAAAAATATAATATATGAAATAGAGCCATTATAAAAAAATCAAAGAGCGGGTCCTACCCTGAGCGCGTAGCGCAATAGTCGCGTGATCGGTTACTCATCGGGATTTACAACCGTAGCGCGCGCGAGTCGAGGTAGTCACATCGCTGTGCAGGACCGTACCTGTTTAAAATTTTTAATTAATTTTTAATTATTTTTATTTTAAATATTTTGGAAAAGAAATCTGCGAATCGGTCTCAAATTATGAGAACTACCACCCCTACAAATTTGGACGCCAAGTTCGGAAACACCCTATATATGTTTTAATGTTTGATTGGTGTGCCTTTTAATTATTTTTTTTATAATTTGCGAAGTTAAAGGAGGTGTGCATTAATCTCGTATATTTTTATCATAACGTTCAAACTTAATTATTTCGCGAACCATAAATGCTTCAACAAAATTGGTAACACTATTTTTAGTTCCATGTTGAATTTTCTATAATTCAGTTCATCTATATTTGAATAAAGTTCTGTCATTGTAGCTACAACAAAAGTTATACAAAATAGTTTTTCTCCATATCTTTTAGACCATTCTAAACTTCCTTGTCTATGCATTATGTAACTCCTTACTAGGAGCCTCGTTTCCCTATGAAATTCATCTTCTGGTCCTGATGTCTTACCTCCTCTACTAGACGATTCTGGTGTTGCATGTCTTTCTGTTTTTTAATTTTTAAGTGTTCAAAAATTTTAGTAATCGTGTTTCATCTTCTAAGCTATCGTTCATTATTTAAACTATATTGTCAGTCTCCTTTCTCTCATTCCAAGATCAATCGGAAGAAAGCTATCTATACACTCTAAGAGTTAATTGCTCATAATTTTAAAGTTCTTCAATAATTTATTATATTTTTGGTCATGATGTCTTCTTATAAATGCTGCCAATTCGACTCTCAGCTTTCCTAAAAGTCTTTATCGAATCTAACTATTTTTTGCCTTCTTTGGCCTTTCTTATTTTTGGCATCTATCAGTGTCTTCTCTACTTGTTTTCCTTAAAACGTTCTCTAGACCTTTTCCAAACCATCTTGGTCTGTGCTTTTATTATTATGAGGTTTGTTCCAACATAAACCAAATCAGTTTGCGTACTGTCAGGATTCTGCGTAGTCTAGAATTCGTGTTCCAACAAACCTTAGTACAAAAACATAGTGTTCCAACACAACCAAAACTAATCACAAACCGATTTGTGTACTGTCAAATCAGTTCCTAGGTATGAACAGGAACGAATTTTCAAGACATGCGCAAAGCCGCAATAAACTAAACATTTCGTGATTGTAATTATATTATTTGTATCTATTGTCTCTGACAGTTCTGATTTGTATTTGTTAATCGAGTTTAGTCTTCATAATTTTTGTTCATTATCATTTATTTTATTTTGTGGTTTATTATTGTAATGGGGCGTCTGTTGAATTTAAAAAATGTGTTCCAACATAATCGAGTTCCCAGTTGAGTCCCAATACCTGACAGGTTGTCAATTACGTCGACAGATTGTCAACGATAAGTCTTGGACTGGTTTATGTATTGTTCAAAGATCGTTGTTGGAACAAACCTTGTTGCCATCGAATTGATGTAGTCTGTGATTGATAATCCTTCTCAGTTCCTAATAATTATCATTTTTTACCTAAAACTTTGTCTACCAGCTGGGCAACCTCATGGTTTTTTGTGTTCTTCACAATATCTTCTGAACTATTTTAAACTTCTTCTCTATTCATCACAGCTTATGCTTTTCCAATGAGGTTTTCTAGGCAGTATTTTATGAGGTGCTTGCTACACGTCCAAACACTATACTAACTGATACTCAGTAAGGAGTCTCTAATTTCATGTTAAATTTATTTTTTTAGTCCTAGTGTTTTTTTCCTCTTCTAGTACTGCATTTCTTTCTGTTCCCTAATTTTTAAAACGAGTCCATCAATTTTACTTATTACATTACTCACCAATTTGTTCCATTTGTCCTAAGTCTTCTTTGAACAAAGCTAACCAATTTTTTTTCGACTCTTCTTTTTTCCTCCTTGTCCTTCTACCAGTGCATGCTGTACGTGTTTGTAAATCCATCGTATGAATATCGTATTTGATTCCTCACAATAATTCCTCATTATAATTTCTTAAAACTTCGTCTACCAGCGAGGTACATCATGGTTGTGCATATATCTGATTCTTTCCTGATATGTTGATGTTAATAATATGTAATTAATGTTTAATAATAGTTGAAAGTAATAGAAAGAATAAATGCTCGGGCAAGTACATTCCCTCTAAGGAGTCAATCCTAGAGCTGGATATAATTCGATAATGTAAGATTTAAGCACCGTAGTGTTGCTTACAGCTTGCACTTCCGATGAACCAGCAATTGTTAATGCCATTAAGGCGCACTTTTTCGACATTGTATGCGCGACATTTAAAAAATGGCGACGCATACTTTGTCCCAAAAACACATTCCCTCCAGCGTTTGTATATTTACCTAATATATTGCAAATCTGTCCAAGAGAATCAAACTTATTGTAAATAAGTAAGATTGTTTCCTTTTTTTATGAAGCGCTATCAACTAAATTGTGTATTGAAATATTTACTTAATGTATGTATTATTTTATTACTTACGATGAAAAAAATGTACTTAAATGTAAGAAATATGATATGTTTGATGTTAGCAATAATATTTCATTCATTTGTACACATGATAACTATTAAATAAATGTGTTTTGTTCAACTGTTATTTTACTTTTAAAACCCTACCTGTGAATTTTCAACATAATTTAACTTGGAATTGGACAAATAAGGTTTAGTTTAATAGCTACTTGCACTAAACAGATAGATGTCACTACCAGCAACTTCCACTTTCGCTCGCTCAACTATGCGTTATTATTTTCGACAATAATTGGCATTTGTAAATATCGGTAACCAACATTACAACCTGATGTATTCTGTGTTGCCTGTTAACTGCAAATCAAATGGCTTTCAAGCTTTTAAGTTCTAAACAGCTTAAGACAGAGCTAAGCGGTAAAGAGCACTCTAAACTATATCTCCTGCTCTATATTTGTGCCAATTTAGAAAATAATTCAACCGATAGTATTGAGCAAATTCAAAAAATAACTAAAATCTCATCAGTGTTGTTATACGGACTTATTTTTCAGACTAGTAAAAAATTGTGTATTATTGTGCACCTCAGGAGCGTGCGGTCCATGGAAGCTTCCCTACACTTTGAGATTTAAAAATAAATATTTTTCAGTTTACAATGCATCGAAATTAAAATTAAATTAGGTACTATATTTTCTCTGAAACATTACGTAAACTTTGTAAATATACTAACAATTCATTGGTGTAATGTGTAAACGCAGGCACCACCCATGAGGAAATTAATTGTGTAAACGCCCACACCATATAGGTACTTCAAGTCCGTCGGCGGAAACGCCTCTTGAAAAAGCCGGCTCATCTTCCAATTGATTTCGCTTCGTCGCTTTGCCGCGACACAGTAGTCAGTCTGTTTGTACACGTGAAATACGGTCGAGAGGAAAATCGTAGACTTCAGATAGATTTCGGTTTGTTTTTCGTAGTTGTTTTTCTTTTTGTAAAATGGAAGAACTATGCACTGCACCTGTGAACAATAATAATGTGGTAAATTGTGTCTGTATTGTGTGCTCTTTATTGAAAAAAAACGTTTTTCAAGTAGAAATTTTGAAAAGAAAACGGACATTATTAATTTTAGTAGACTAAAGGATCCTATCAATTTAGAGACGAAAGTAAAAAAGTCAGCAAAGAAATTTACCAGGCATATTTTCACGTAGGGTTCTATGAAAAGTATGAACGGTTAACCGGCTGCAAAACTTTGAAGAAATTGTTTTACTGGCCTTGTCTACTTTTTAATATAGCCGAAAAAACACATTGAAACTCAGTCGGTATTACAGACTTGAATAATTTTCACAAAAAGTGTAAAACGACATGTAAATAGCAAATCTCATATAAGTGCTACAATTAAAGAAAAAACATTCGGGACCTATCGCATTGAACATAGTTTGAACAATCATTTAAAAATAAGCAACAAAATTCACAATGAAAGGGTAAAAAAAAATAAAAAAAATAGGGACGTCTTACAACGAATAATAGATGTAACTTGTCACAATGAAGCAAGTAGATCCGCCAATCGAGGAGATTACATGGACCTTCTAAGTTTTTTTAGCAAAATACGATGATACCCTAAAAAATCATGCAATTTTCGTTCATTGTATAGCACATAGACTTAATTTGGTTTCATTGCGAAGCATGGATAATTTTAAAGATTGCAAAGTTTTCTTTTCCACGCTTAGTGGTTTGGCTTCCTTCTTTTCAAAGTCCTCGAAAAGAACTCGCGCTTTGGACATTCACGTTTAAAAAAGGTTTCCAAAAGTTGCTCCGACGCGATGGAACTACAATGGACGTTTAGTGAAGTGTTTCAATACCGTGATTCTTTGATACACTTTTTTGGGATAATAAAGGAACATGGGATGCTGAAACTGTTACTGCTGCTAAAGGGTATTTGCATTGGCTCAAACAAAACTTTGATTTAAATTTTTTGCTCAACATTTTTGCAGAGATTTTCCCTTTTACTGACATTTTATTCGACATTTTACAGACAAAGTCAGATGACATTGGCTTTTGCATTTAACAATTTGATGATTTTAAAAATAAAATGAATAAAGAACGAGATCAGTTTGAACACTTTTGGAATGACTCAAAACATTGGCTTAGCACCTGAAAGAAAGAGAATTAGAATTGATAATATTGGCGTCGTCGATTATACGCCAAAACTTTTGATATTTTACAACAAATGAACTCTCGATTTCAAAACTTTAACAAATTCAAATTTGTTGTCTTGTGCAATTTTTATATTAGTAACTACGATTTATCAAAATTTCCATCGGAAGCTTTTAATTCACTAAAATTACATTATGGAATTTTTTTCGATATTCCAGCATTAAAGTCCCAATTAAGTGTTGTTTACGAAACAACTGAAATTGGTGATGAAAAGACGCCCATCAATGTGTTAATTTTTCTTAAAACAACTGGTTTAAAGAAGTCCCTTTGTGAAGTCGTCAAGTTGTGTGAATTAGACTAACCATCCCAGCCATAAGTGCGTCAGATGAGCGAAGTTTGTCAGCTTTAAAGCGCATTAAAAGTTTTACACAAAATTCAACAAGTGAAGACAGACTCTCTAATTTAGCCCTAACATCCATTAAAAAACAGCTTGTTAAACAGTTATTATAGAAAATTCAAAATTTTACGACGATGTTATAAGACAAATTTGCAGCCATTTAGGATAGGCGAATAGATCTTAAGTATAAATAAATGTCAACTGCTGTGTTAACTGTACGAAAAATGCTGGAAAAATAAAAAAAAAACTTTAGTTCTTTTTTTTACGTTTAAATAAACCAAGGAACCTTTTCAATGGTAAGTTTTTTTATAGCTTCTAGTACTAAACTAGGTAATAAAGTAATAGTAACACTTCAAAAATCTCAATCTCGAGTATACGTAGTACTGAGGAAGAAATCTGATGTGTCCAACACATGACTTTCCTATATAGTTATTATAGGCTTTTTCCGGTTATTTTGTACAACCTATTGCAGCACCTCTATAAATGTTTAGAAGATAAACTAAAATATACATTTTCCACATACATCTAACTCGACACATTTTTCTATAATATATTCCATAAAATATAAAAAACGGCTTCCCATAAAGTACCCCCCCCCTAGATGTTCCGCCTTCGTCCAAAATCTAATCATTTCACCTCAGGCCGAATTAAAACTTAAGTTTTAAATTTAATGTTTTTTCCTTTATCCGTTTTTCAGTTTTCTTCAAAATTCGAAATTTACACATTTTCTCAAATATCTCGAATACGGTCCATTTTAGAAAAATTATGTATGGGATAAAAGTTATAGAGAACTATATTACAAACAACTTTTATTTGAACAATTTTGATAAACAATTAATTTTTTTACATTTTGTCAAAGGACCCCGCCCTTTTGTTTAGAAAAGGGCGGGGTCCTTTCTCGAATACGGACCATTTAAGGAAAATTTTATATAGAACAAAAATTATAGATAATAATATTGTAAGTAACTTATATTTGACGAATTTTCTTCTCCAAACGTAAATAACGAATATATTTCATAAAATATAAAAATGACCACCAATAAAGTACCCCCCCAAATGTTCCGACTCTGTCCAAAATCGAATCAGTTCACCGCAGGCCGGAATAAAGCTTAAGTATAAAATTTGGTGTTTTTCTTTGTATCGGTTCATGAGTTATGGTGGATAAAGACACACACACACACACGCACGCCCCACACACACAAACACACACACATACACACACACGCACGATTTTTTCTTTGAAATTTTTGCCAGTGCTGTAGATTTGAAGGCCCAATATTCTAAAGAGAAAAATAAATACAATAAAACAAAGACTTTCTCATTGTCATCTAAAATATAAAATAAGTGTTTTTGAAAATGGTCCATATTAAATGCCTTCATCTACACCACGACGCTAGGCGCCTCGACGCCGGGCGACGTACCTAAATCGGCGCCGTCACAACGCTAGATGAAATTAGTACATAATCTAATGTATGTATTTTCAATGATGAGTCAAAAGATTTATGTAACTTTCTTTGAGATACCACTGTGTGGAAACGAGGGCTTGACATTTTCTTTAAAATATTATCAATGTAAACAATAAACCACATGGCCTTCAGGTCATACACTTCGAAAAAGAGTTAGGATAAGCATCTGTTTCCGATGGGCGAATTTAAGTTAATTCAATAGAAATTATAAAAATCAATATTAAGAAATATATAGGGTTGTATTAGGTTATTTCAATAGAAATTATAATAATCAATATAAAAAATATACAGGGTTGAATTAAGTAATTTCAATAGAAATTATAAAAATAAATATTTTTGAAATATGCAGGGATGTGCTATCTTGGATAAATTGTACAAACCAAGATGGTGAATACACTGTTCGATAGCTCAAGGAAGGACACCTATATGCTAAGCCACCCATCCTACAAGGTTTGAAACAAAGAATAATATGTCAAATCAACATAGTAATTGGCGAATTGGCGCTGTTCGTTACTTCCGTTGGTCATCCCCTCTATATTCGACGAAATATTTACCTAAGAGAATAGAATCAAATCAACATCAATACATTTAGTTAACCAACTGGCGAATTGGCGCTGTTTGTTAATTCCGTTGGTCATCAACCTAAATAAGAATATAAACATTAAAATATTAAAATTGTTTGAGGATGTGAAAACAATCAAATATAAAAATGTATAAGTTTGGTCAGCTCCTCGTTTATGGACCCACCTGTATATTTAAGAATATTTATTAAACATGGTCATACAACTTTTATATTAACTTTTTCCCTATTTCCACTAATAAAACAGCACTATTGGGGACACCCTGTATGTGTATTTGGCTAACATGTTATCAACGTTGAATATGTATATGTATAAGGAATTTTATGCCAAAATAATATACAGGGTGTTGCATTTGAAAAAATTAAGTAAATTAAACTTAAATTAGCCATATTTAAGACATATTTCAAAACACTCTGTACAAAATAAATAGTTGTATCATCTTGGAAATCTACAAGGATCAACCAGAAGTCCCTTTTTTATGATAAATTGCGTGAGAAATAATTATTAATCTTAAGTTT